TTCAAGAGTAGTCAGTCTGCCCCACCTTTCCCTGTTTCCCTCCCATTCTTTGTATAATTTTGGTACATAAGGTTTCATGCATGGTATTTATCTTAGTACTGATTCATTTCAACCAAGCTTCTCAATAGTGCCAAGATGGCTGTTCATGGCCCACACTTCGAGCAGCTTCTCTGCCTCCATATTGTTGATGTGCGGATAGTGGAAGTCTTGTTGGTGAAGGGTTGGCCAGTGCATTGTGGGATGGCTAACAGTATGCCTAGCCTCTGTGCTAGCTGCCAAGATTACTCCCTCCTCCTTATGACAAATAAAAAATGTCTCTAGATATTTTCACATTTCTTCTGTGGGCAGAATTACCCCCAATGAGAAATACTGCCCTAAGTGATCCTGACCATTGGCCAAGTGTGAGATCTGGTCTGCAGTATGATTTGTTTGTGTATTTGAATTATCAAAATTTCATTCTCTGAATTGATCTGCCCCAGAGTATATGCCACAAAGGACAGAGGAGTTCTGTGCACTCCTGCATCCACAGCACCCAGAAGACTTTGGGGTGTTTAGTGACCATCTATTGGATATTCAGATCCATTAAATCCGTGACTGTGTTGGTGGCAGTGAGCAACTGTACTCCAAAACTGCAGTAGAGTCTTGCGGACTAGAGTATGAAGTTACATTTGCCCCATGCCCTGTCTTCACGCTGACTTAACTCCTGTTAGCAAAGGTTCCCACCACTCAGGCAGATGCCCTGTCAGCTGGTTAATGGTCTGTGAAACTTCAATGCACCCGGGAATGCCACTCCTCCAGATGAAGCCTTCAGCTGGAGAGAGAATCTTAATCCACTTCAAAGGAGACCCTTTTCTCTTACGTTTTAAGAAAGCAGAGTCTTAGTTACCTATAGCAGTTCAGGGTGAAAATCAGCAATATGACATAAGCACCCTGTCCCCTCAGGGGAAGACAGTGGCTCCCCTTTCAATGGGACTTGAACAAGCAGGTATATATTAAGGGCCAGTTATCAGAAGCCTCTGGCTAGCCCAGGATTTCTCTTTCACTGAGCTACTTTCTTCAGTGCTGCTTTTCCATTCCTGAGCTCAAATGGTCAGCCTCTTCTTCCTGCCCCCTGGGGCCCCTAGTTCTCTGCCCACAGGTCTGATTGCAAGGTTGGTGCCAGACATAGACACACAAGTATGCATTATCATTTCCTCCTCTCTGCCAACAACTCCCAACCATTAAGAGGAGGGATTCTTTACGAATGTAAAAGCCATTTCAGGCTTTTGTGTTTTTCTTTAGAATACGTGTGTAAAATGCCCTTGGGAAGTGGTAATTCCTGTAAACTTGCAGAGCTGCTAAATGGTTTTTTTTAATGCTCCCCACCCCCAAATTCTAGGGTTCTGCAACCATTAGCTATTGTAGACTTGATTATTCTTTCTCAAGAGCTGTATTTGAACCACAAAGAGCAGCTCTAGGAAACAGAAGCATAATTGTTGCACACACCGTACCCTCAAAAAGTCCCACGTGGGATAATTGGGGATTAGACCGGAACATTCAGCTTCACCCTTTATGCCACATACCTGGGGCTGCAGATGCCAACGAGTTCAAGGGGTGACAGGCTTTGTGGCCAGCCACCAGCTTCACTTGAACACTGAAGAAGAACTTTTGTCTTTGGGTTGGGATTTGAAGCCCCAGGTGCCGAGGGTGCCACTTAGCAGAGGTCCAGCAGAGCTCAGTGGATGGAATAAATAGATGAATTAAATGCAACGAAGGCCCATGGTTGCGAATGAGCACCTCTACCCGCCAGCTGTCTTCACAAGAGAAGCCTGAGCTGGACCTTCAAGATGAGATTGTCCACCCCAGCAGGAACCATTCTGCATAGCCCCCAACTGTTGCAGTAGCTGGCTTTTCCAGAGAGCACGGGGCTGCTGCAAGGTTCGGGGTGCAGGCCCCATGTAGGACAGCTACAGGAAGAGCAGCCTGGGGTCTCTGAGGACTCTGCACATAGAAGGCTGCCTGAGGGCTGGTGGTGGGAGGATGGATGACTCTTACCCAAAGGCACAGGAAGCCTAAATATGAGGCTCAATGGCTGGGCAGGCAGCACTGGGGACCTCCTTAACTGCCTCGGTCTGCTCAGCACCTGTGCAGCGGGGTCAGCCCTTTGTAAATATTCTCCCGCTGTTATTTTTGTTTTCTTGTTTGTTTTTCTTTTTGTCTGTTAATGGCACATCTGGGTCCTGAATTGGGTCTTCTGATCCTTCAGGGTTTTATTTTATTTTATTTTATTTTATTTTTAATTGTTTTAACATATCAGTCTCCGAGTATCTAATTCAAGAGTTTTACGGTTTTGGCTAACTTCTTAAGCTGTAGTTTACTCTGTGTGTTGGATCCCGGTTTTTCAGCTCACTCTCTGTATCAGAAGGTTTAATCTTTCCTAAAGGAGGGCTTTGGGGGTATAAGATCAATGGGATCTATTGTGAGGAGCGCGCACAAAGCCTCACTTTGTCAGGCTGTTGCTCTGTGAAGCTCTTTAATGGTGCTGGTGCTGCGTGCTTTGGTGTGTCTGCGCTTTACAGTGTTTGTCTTGGGAGTTCAACTCCAAAACTTTCCTGATGAGATTAACACAGATATTTGATTGAGTTTCTTTGTAACTGGTCTTTCAGAGGTTTTTATGTATTTTTTTATTTTTATTTTTATTAATTACAGTTTATTCACTTTGTATCCCCCTGTAGCTCTCTCCCTCCTCCCCTCCCAATCCCACCCTCCCCTTCCCTTCTCCACTAATGCACCTCCCCAAGTCCACTGATAAGGGAGGTCCTCCTCTCCTTCTGTCTGATCCTAATCTATCAGGTCTCATCAGGAGTGGCTGCATTGTCTTTCTCTGTGGCCTGGTAAGGCTGCTCTCCCGTCAGAGCGAGGTGATCAAAGAGCAAGCCAATCAGTTCATGTCAGAGACAGTCTCTGTCCCCATTACTATGGAACCCACTTGGACACTGAACTGCCATGGGCTACATGTGTGCAGGGGTTCTAGGTTATCTCCATGAATGGTCCTGGATTGGAGTATCAGTCTCAGAAAAGACCCCTGTGCCCAGATTTTTTTTGGTTCTGTTGCTCTCCTTATGGAGTTCCTATCCTCTCTAGGTCTTACTATTTCCCCCTTCTTTCCTAAGATTCATTGCACTCTGCCCAAAATTTGACTATAAATCTCAGCATCTGCTTTGATACCCTGCAGGGCAGAGCCTTTCAAAGGCCCTCTGTGATAGGCTTCTGTCCTGTTCCCCCTTTTCTCCCTCTTCTGATGTCCATCCTCTTTGCCTTTCTGAATGGGGATTGAGCATCTTAGCCAGAGTCCTCCTTCTTAATTAGTTTCTTTAGGTGTATAGATTTTAGTATGTTTATCCTATATTATATGTCTACTATCCATTTATGAGTGAGTATATACCCTGTGTGTCTTTCTGCTTCTGGGATACATTACTCAGGATGATCTTTTCCAGTTCCCACCATTTGCCTGCAAAATTCATGATTTCCTTGTTTTTTTATTGCTGAGTAATATTCCATTGTGTAGATGTACCACAATTTCTTTTTTCATTCCTCAACTGAGGGGCATCTGGGTAGGATGAGCTGAGAGCCTGTTCTCTGATGAGCTAACGTTTAAAATAGATGCTGTGCGGACCTCATCTCATAGTAAGGGCTCTCAGCTTTGGCTACCAACTGGGGTATGTGGGAGGAGCCTTTTAAATCATCATGCCTGACTCTGCCCACCCGAATGAAACCAGAGTTCTGAGGCCAAGACTGGGACAGCTTTAGTTTTAGAACCTGTCCAGACAACCCCTGCCTGGGTTGTTTGTGTGTTCTGCCTGTGTCGATGATGACCCTAATGCCTATTACTCTGGACATCCACAGAAGTATGTTGTGTGCGATAGTGGGTGTGAATTAAAATGAGCGTCTATCTTCAATTCACTAGCTCCAAAGATTCCTGGAACCACCCCAGGGTCTTAGCAAAAGCCCTCGAAGGGTTCTTTCTCTTCTCTTTGGTTCTGGGTCTTCACCACACAGCTGGGTGCCCTAAATTCTCCTTGGCAAGCCTAGAAGGGGCGTCAATGTGTGGAGAAAGCTGGAAGTCATATGTTCCTCTGACGCCAGGAGTCTCAGTCCTGCTGTATATCAGATCAAGACTCAGTGTGTGCAGGGACAGGCGCGTAACCAGTTGAGCAGTCATTCTCACATGATATGAGGGAGAAGAAACAGGCTGTAAGATAAGGAAACTTCAGTATGCTCCCTCTCACACACACAAGTGTAAATTTTTAAAGAAAAAAAAAAAGATGTATCTGTATTTTCTTTAACATTTTAAAGCTTGCTCTAAGAATAATAAAATGATTCTAAACATAATACAGAAATGACTTTTTAAATATCCATTAAATAATTGTTCAAGAAAATACCTGTTTTTTAAAATGGATATTCCTTCCTGCCATCCCATACTGATACTTTGGGGCCAATGGAAAAAACAGGGAGATGTCTCAGCTGGGTTTTAAGAACTCAGTTCAAGAGAGAAAATGAAGGAGATCATTGAGTTAATTGGAAAAGGGCTAGCTGCTGTAACAAAAACAATCTCATTCTAGGGTCTTAACCCAAGTTTAGTGAGCTGGTAGCCAGATCAGGAGGCCTCCCCTTGTCTGTCACCTGGGTACTTCCTACTAAATAGCCCTGAGGCTTGTCTTTTATACATGCCCCACAGAGGAGGGAGTGGGTACAAGGTAAGAAAGAGCATCTCTCTACTAGGCTGGACCACACACCCTTTCAGGCCTCGGAGCAGGGCCTCTTCATAGGGTCTCTGGCCTGTGGGAACAGGTTCAGCCAGAGTTCAGCAACAGTGCACATGATAACACAGAACGGTCAAATATGGCCACTGCCCTAGGAATACCTCCCACAGCCGGGCCTGGTCCCTGACTCAGATGACAGGCACCACAGAGCTGAAATGGCATTCTGACGGTGTGTGTTCTTTTTCCTTCTTCCCACAGACATTGCCAACGGCACCAGTTCAGGGGGGTACCGCCCACCTCCCAGAACCAAAGAAGTCATCATCAATGGCCAGACTGTGAAACTAAAGTACTGTTTCACCTGCAAGATTTTCCGGCCCCCTCGAGCCTCCCACTGCAGCCTGTGTGATAACTGCGTAGGTGAGTAGACCCAGAATGCTACAAGAGTAGCAGTTCCTGCTAGGATGCCCGAATGGGCAGGTCCTGTCTTTATTGCTTGTGCTGAGGCTGGGCGGAGGCTACTGTGTCCATACATTTGTCTGTCTCTGATGAACACATTCACCTAGCCTATACTCACCTCTCTGTTTCACTGTGGGGTTTTTAACCCTGCCATGGACCTTCTTTCTCAGCAACTGGTCCTTTGTTCCTCCTAGATGCCAGACAAGCAGATACTTGAAATATAGCTGTTGCGGCCCTCGGTCCCTCCATTGCCTGACAGCTGGCTGAACACATAAAGCATGTACTTTGTGCATTCCCTCCCCTTCCCCATTGCTCAGGGGCCTCGTTTGGAGACGAGGGAGGTCTTGGATCTGAAGGAGGGAAAGAGGTGGAAACAGCCAATTTCAACATGCAGCTAGAGCTCAGACAGGGGGACAGGCAGAGAGAAGGTGCCAGCTCAGAGGTCCCTGGCTGTGTGTAGCCTGCTATTGACCCAACATCAGCTTCTCCAACTGACCTGGGTCCCAGGCAGGGCTTCCTGTTCCTTTAGACTGAGAGCTGGTCACCATAGCGGTCCTCCATCCTAGGCATAGCTCCTAAGAGAAGAGGGTAACAATAAAGACAGAAGAAGGCTTGGCCAGACTATGGGAGACTGCAGTTCCTGTAGCCAGACTCCACAGAGGTGAGAGTGGAAATGTTGCCCCTCAGACCTGGAAGCAGAGGAGTACTCTTAAAGCAGTGTCTCCATCAGTAACACATCATTGATTTCCATCGCCCTCCTTCAGTCTCAGAATGTGTAGTCTCAATTCCTCCTGAGGAAAAATAAATAAATTTTACAGTGTAACTCCTGGTGCACCAAGAAATCATATTAATCTTGAATTCACTTTATCCTAACTTTAATAATCTGCAGCTTGATGCAAGGCTTATGTTTTTCCCTGTCTATATTTGTCTTTGTTTTTATTAACTTAGATTTCTGTTGGTTTCTGATCCCCTGTGGAGAAACTTGGAATTTTCTTCTGCCATTCCCACCTAGCAAGGAGCCTGTAGTTAAGACTGAGGGCTGTGACATAGGGTAGCCGGGCTCCGCATGCTCCCTGCGTGACTTAGACAAGCTACTTAAACCGTGCCTCAGTTTCTACAGTGGTTGAAAGGAGACACAGACAGAAACACACAAAGCAGGAAGAGTAGCAGCGGGCATGGGACAAGCATTAGTTGCTGTCGCTGTCACTGTTTCTGCTGCTGTTGCTACTGTCGCTGCTACCGCCTGGATATTTTTGAGTGGCTCTCTCTAGGCAAGTCCTTGATATACATCTGCTCTCTGCAACCGTAATGACAGAACTGTACCCTGTCCTCCATGCAGGGCGCATGGGGTTCCTATAAAGCCATGTGAGCAGCTTGGTGTGATTGGGTAACACCTACCCCAGTGGCCGTTCCACACTTACCTTGAAGACATTTGGGGCCAGACAGCATGGTGGCTTCAGTGTCATCCAGGAGGCAGCCCGAAGGATGATGAACAGCCTCAGGGCTTCTCTTGGGTTGTAATTTTGACCTCTGGGTCTGTTACAGGATGAAATAGCCTATCACTTCAGCACTGCTGTTGTTTTTTATGTTCTTTCCTATGTGTGGTGGGGAGGGGATTCTTATCCTAAGTTGTATTGGGATTAAATAAGAAATTGCTGTCTACAAATCTAAAGTGTTTACATCCTGATCATTGAGAAATTTTTTACCCATTTCAAAACACTTTTTGTTTCTGCTTTACTCCTTCTCACCAGTTTGTCTTAATCCTGTTTCCTGTCTCTGGGGTAGATCCGTAATCATGCTTAAAAAGGGAGCCTTTCCCATCTCACCGTCAGTTATGCTTTAGAAAGTCCTGTTGGAGTCCTGTCACCTCATATATTCATACAGTCACTCCCAATATGGCCCGCATTGCCCCATGGGTATGTGTGTCTCTTAAAGGAAACTGACAAATTGGATATAAATCTTGCTGCCAGAATTATGTTTGAATTTTCACAGTTGACAGCATGTTTTTGCCAGAGTAAAACTGTTTGAATTTTCACAGTTGATGGCATGTTTTTGCCAGAGCAAAACAGTTTCCTCTGGTGGACTCTACCAATGGTAAAAGCTAGAGCCATCGGCCCACAGTGTACAGGAGGCAGGTGTGGCCCTTTCTGGGGACTTGGTCACAAGGTCAGCCCAGCAGCCCACAGGCAAAGCTGGGCAATGTTCCATGAACAAGAGACACCAAAGAGAAAGGGAAAGGAGAGGCAGTGAAAAGGTCTGGGGTGGGGTCAGGAAGAGGAAGCCCAGCCTAAGGCCAAGGTCCCTCTCTATGGAGGACAGGGGAGGTGAGTAACATAGTCTTTTTAAAATAAAGTGTGTGTGTTTACTTGGAACACAAACACACACACACACACGCACGCACGTACACACAGTGTTATCTAAGCCTACATAGCTTTGCTTTTTCCAGATAATTGTGCAACAACAGCCTTTGGCATGACTGATGAACAGCCACAGATCAGACCTCTGCATTTGGGGAATAGAACGGAAAGCAAAAGTCTCCCACAGAGCAGTGTAATTGCAAGCTTGCTGCTAGTGTATTTTTAGATAGAAGGTTTTTTTTACCAGAACAGTTCTACTTTTACAGTAAGTAAAAAAAGACAGGTGTGTTGGAAGCCCAGGTTAGAATCCCCACTTCCCTTCCCTTGTCAGGAGCAGCTTTGGGTCCTTACTTCCTAGGAGTGGTGGATAATTGCTGTCTTGCATTAGCAAGAGAGGAAACGGGAAAATGCAGATTTCTAAGTTAGCTCGGAAAATTCTTTTTCTTTGTTACATAAATTTTAAATAAGAGCCAAGTCTTAAGAGCCTCGAATTCTTAGTCGGGGGCTGAGGGAAGAGCTTCCTTGGGGGCTGAATGCTGGTGCAACCACAGAAAGAGTAGGCAGAACAGAAGGGCTGGGACCTGGCCTTCAGCACACAGAGCCAGGGCTGCATCCTGCTCTTGTCACTGAAGAACCCTGGAAGCCGAGAAAGTTTTCTTGATACTCCCAACTGATTCCAAACCTATAAAACAAGATGAGCCTAGCATAGCTTATGAGTTTCATCTAAGGAATAAGTGAGGTCATGCCCACTGAAGAACTCTGCTCAGACACAGCACACACAAAGTATTGCCACCAACATTCCCACTCCAAACTAGTAGTGCTGCTCCCAGCTCTCTGTTTAAAGCAAGCTCCAGTGCCTGGGGAGATGGTTCCGTCAGTGATGTGCCAACTACAAGCGTGAGGACCCGAGTTCCGATCCCCAGCGCCCATGTGCAAAGCCATGTCCAGCAGCATATGTCCCTAACCTGAATTGGGGACCCTCAGGTCCAGTGAGAAAATCTGCTCAAGAAAGTAAGATGGCGAGTGGCTGAGGAAGACTGCAGATTTTGATCTGTGGCCTCTATACCTATATACACACTCATGTATATACCCATATAAAAAGATGATTATACAACACGCACACACACACACACACACACACACACACACACGAATGAGGTTCATCCTGGCAGATAAGGCAATTCCTTGCTTTACTAATAGGATCTTGACAACCCTCAGTAATAGAAAAGAACCCATTAATTCTTTTCTGTCTCTCACATGGTTGTTGTTTAGCTGTGTGTCTGTCTGTCTGTCTGTCTCTTTCTCTGAATCATCCCCCCTTGGGTGTTGCCATCAATCACTTCTGTACATCCAGAATAGACAATTTGAGGCTGTCTGTTTATCCTGGCAATCTTGGCACTTAGAGATGTTTTTACATTTATTTGTGTTAGGGAGAGCATGGGGTGTGTGTGTGTGTGTGTGTGTGTGTGTGTGTGTGTGTGTTCTAGCCTATGTGTAGAGGTCCCAGGACACCCTGCAGGAGTCTGTTTTCCACCCGCATCATTTGTGTTTCAGGGGTTAGCCCCAGATCATCAGGCTTTGCATCAAATACCTCTACCCACTGAATCATCTACTGGTCCCACAAAATATTTTTAAGCAACTAGTATTCAGGGCTCAGATTCACCCTAGCTCCCTTAGGACTTCTCATCTCTTAGATCAGTAGGGCAAGGATGATGGAGGGAGCTGAGAAACAAAACAGAGGTGCTCATGAAGTGTTCTCAAAATATGGATGGTCTACAGCCCCAGAAGCCTGCTCTCTGTCTTCCCCTGACTGGCAGCCCAAAGGCTGTTCTTTCCTGGCTCCATCAGTGTTGGAAGAGGCAGCAGCTTTCAACACAGTTACAGCTGTGTTCTTCTCAGAAATGGATTTTTAATTTTGACATTATTTTATGTGTATGGACTCATGGACACCTGTGTTCCACTTGTGTTCCTGGTACCAGAAGAGGCCATAGGAGAGTACTGGATCCCTAGAACTGGAGTTACGGATGGTTTTGAGCCATCGTGTGAGTGCTGGGACTCAATCCCCATCTTCTTAGCTGCTGCACCATCTTCCCAGCCCCAGAAATGGGTATTTTTAATGCAACCTCAATTTGTAATGAGAAGGTTCCCTTGAAATTAATCACACACTGTGGATGAATTAATAAGGATATTTTCTAACAGTGAAGATGGAAGTCTGTAAGCTTCTGTAAACTGACTATCCGGGAGTCTAACTGTGCCTAGATGGTGGGATCTTAGCTATAAGAATGACCCTATGGAGCCATAGCAACCTGGGACCCACTGTGTTCTCTGGGCTAAAAGACCTCCTCTGTACCTCCAGGACCCCAACTTCATGAGCCAAGAGGACAAAAGAGGTAGAACACAAAGCCCTCAGGCTGTGCCAGGCCACAAATGCCAGGCAGTGCCAGCCTCCTTCACTTGAGGCAAACCCTGGTCCATTGTTTTCTGTTTCCTTTGTCATTTCTGGTTTGCCTGACGACAGTGCCCAGAAGCCCTCTGCGGGCGCCTGCGTGTTGGTGCCTTTTGGGTGTTGCCTCCCACTCCTCACTAAAGATGGTATGAATCCCG